AAGCAGACTCCCTGCTGAGCAGGGAGCCTGATGTGGGACTCGATCCCAGGACTCCAGGATCATGACCTGAGCTGAAGGCCGTTGCTTAACCAACTGAGCCACCCAGGCACCCTAAAGGAAACACTTTTTAGAGTGGGTGGAAATCACAAGGAAATCAGAGAAAGCTCATAGTCTAACATAAAACTTTTTCCTGAGAGCTGCCCCACAGTGGAAAGGGATGCTCTGTATGGAAAAAAAGTTCTGCATCATCTGAAGTATTCAAATCAAGATTTAAAGCCACTTGCTGGGAATGAGGTAAAGGGGGTTGGACAAACTGTGAGGCCCTTCTTGTTTTTGAGAGTATCTAATGCTTTGGTCTCTGGCCATCTGCACATGTCTCTGAAGTAAGAGTGAACTTGGATGTCTTACTTTTCAGTGGTTGAAGGCCTCTCACTGTTGGACTTGGGAGTGTCTCCGTATTCTGGAGCAGTATTTCATGAAGTAAGTGTTCTTGTTTTTTTTTTCTGAGTACTAAGAGTAGTTTATAGTCACAAATACCAAAGCCTAACCTCTGTTTTGTACAAACATTTGAAAAGATCTATTTTCAAAAATCATGTTTAGAAACAGACCTTTTTTAGATGTCCTCTGCATAAGAAGGAGGTTTCACAATTGCAGTGGAAATGATCCAGATTAAGATTGTAATTTGGGGAAGCAGATGAGACTTCTGTGGAAGTTACCATTTTTATTGGCAAATAAATTATAAACAGTTCCCAGTCCACAAATAAGTTGTATGTTAATTGTCATGTAATTGGTTCTTTGGAACATGCTTTCCCATGAAAACTATGTCAGCAATGCTGGTTTCTTAGAAAGCCCACAGAAGCCTGTTTAACCCGTAATATTAGTTCTTAAAATAGTAAAATCCTTCTTAGGTCACTATCATCTCTTGCTTGGGTTCCTGCAACAGCTTCCTGACAAGTGTTTCTCCATCAGTCTTGCTCCTTTACTCTTTATTCTGCAGCCAGAGTCATCTTTCTGCAATGTGAGTCTGATATTGTTAGTGTCCTGCTTAGTACCTTTGCTCACCACTGAACTCAGGGTAAAACCCAAACACCCTAGGGGGCATACAAAACTGTGTGGGCCCTGCTTACATGAACCACATTTCTTCCCACTCTCCCCTCCCCATTATTGTTTGTTATATCATTTTAAAGTAGAAGTCTTCTATTTGAATTCTTAACCCCTCATTTTTACAGTTGTCTCCCTCATACCTACTTTGAGAACAATTTTTTCTTTCTTCTTTCTTTCTTCCTTCCTTTCTTTCTTTCTTTCTTTTTCTATCTAGTTTTTTTTAAAGCATTCAGCTTGGTTCTCATGGAGATAACAATTGGCTTTTGCATTCATATTTCATTAGTTTTGTATTACTATCTGATTGAACCACAATAATAAGAACTGCAATCAGGAACAGAGATATTTTAAGACTCTTAATAAGCACACAAATCAGTTATTGGGAACAGATGTGTGTGGGCATATAAAAGCATAGCCCACTAGCCATGAGGGCTCAGTGTGCAATAGTCCTTGGGCAGTATGTTTTCTAGACAGAACAGGAAGAGAGAGTTCTGAGAGAGTTCTCACATACTTTCATTATGCTCCAACTCTATATTCTCTCTTACCTATGTGTTTTTGCTCATTTTGTTGTCTCTTTATGGAGGGCTGTTTTTCCCCTCTTTTTGTGGTTGGCTATGCTATGCTATGCTATGCTATGCTATTTATTTATTTATTTATTAAAGATTTTATTTATTTATTTGACAGAAACACAGCAAGAGAAGGAACACAAGC